CTCTGTTAGAATAATACAGAATGTATTAATAAGAAACCATAAGATAAAATATGAATATATAAACCCAAACATTATCTTATCTGCGCTTACCGGATTTTATTTCTTACCAGAGTTCCTGCCAACACTAGAAGTCAATCTATAACATTGAAGACTTATATATATATAAACTGTGTAAGATCATAACTTTTTAAAATAAAACAAACTAGATCCTATCACACAACCCTCCCTTTAAAGTTTGCAACACGTGATTGGACAGATAGTTCGAGAGCATGCACCTGCTGTCTGAATTGATCTTCATTATATCGATATTTTTCAAGTTCTGCTCTTTTTTCTTCCTATTAATATATAAGAAATATATTAATATTTGTTAAAAAAATATGATAAATAAATTGATTCATACCATCGAAACTTCATTATCACTGTAAACCAATACGACTTTTGGCACTGATTTTTGAGATGTCAGTTGAGAGTTTGATTGTGCTGCGTTGTTCAAAGCAGTTTCATTTGTAGTCGTTTCGCCAACGGAAGGAACTGTAGAAAAAGAACAATATGTTGAAATTGAGTCATGACAGTATTTACAGCGTAAGGTACATAAGTATGCTGACCTGATGGAGGCATTCCAGCATTTGAAACTTGTGAGTAAATTTGAGATGCAGGTGCAACACTATTAGCTGGACGAGGTGGATAAATCGCTGATTGTCCCGTTGTGGCTGGTTGAATCTGTCCTCCATATGGAGGTTGGGTTGTTCCATATAATGGTTGACTAACACCTGATACTGGAGGACGCCATGGTTGACCAGATATAAGAGATTGTCCAGGAATTTGACTTGATAAATGTATAAAATTTATTTAATATACAAGAATGAAATCAAAGTAAACCATTAGTTTCTACTAACCCCGGTCGGTATGGAGCAACAGGTGAATATGTTTGAGCTGAATTAACACCAGGCCTTTGATAAAATTGACTGTACTGGTGAGGCATCAACGATGCCATATTTTGTTGCGCAGTATAACCAGAATAAGGGAAAGATTGGCCAGCTGTTGGATTATTTTGCATCATTGCTTGATGTTGAGCAAGTTGCTTTTTAATCTCCTCACTAGAAAGGTCCATAGGTTCTTCGGTTTTAATTCTCTTTGATGGCTGATTAGTTTCAAGCGCATGCATATGAGCTATCATATCAGCTTGGGGAATTCCTTCCATACCGAATATCTCTACATCCGTTGATTCCCGTCCTTTTAATGCATTTGGAACCCTAATTAGGTTGAACCAAATAATTAAGCAATTAGATTTCAAATATATTTTCGTCTTGACTTAAATAAGAAATAAAAGTATATAAAAATAAAAATCAACAATAACAACACTATGAACTAGCCTTAATTTAATTTTTTATTTTATAATGAGCTTTGAGATTGGGATAAAAATTAAAAATACATCAAAAATTTAGCAGCAAAATTATATTTAATATATTGAGCTATTGAAATTATTTATCCTTACGTGTCAATTGTTTCTTTGTGAACCTGGGCTACATGAACAACCATTCCACCTGCCGTGTTTAATTTTTTGTTGCAGTGAGGACATTTAAAGTGTTTTGCTTTTTGATGCTGGATTAAAACCTTTTCATCTTCAAAATCTCTTTCACAATACCTATTAAATAAAACAACGATTAGTGATTTTTGTTTTAGTAATAAAACTTGGAACATATATTTTAACCGAACTTACCAGCACCATGGACGAACAATTTTCTTGTTTTTCTTCTTACCCATTTGATTAAAATTATGTTGGAACTTTCTATAATATAAAGTTCAGTATATCCTAACGTTTGTCAAACTAAAATTTGTGTGAATTTTTTTAAAAAAAAAAAAAATTAGCTTTATATCGTTTATATCAAATTTTAATCATATGACCAGTAAACTGCGGCGGTGCAAATTTTTGATAAGATTGTAAGATTTTATTTGTAGATTATAAAAAAAAAAAGATGGTAAAGGTAAATTCTTTATTAAGTGTACAATTTGTAAATTTATAAAATAAAAAAAAAAAGAAAAGTAAAAATCTATAGAATAACAATGCAGTATATTTGTAAGGAAAAAAAAAAAATATATTATATATGGATTCCCTCCCCCTTTTTTTACAGAAAAAGAGAAAGAGAGCTATTAATAATAGAAATTATACATAATAACTCGATAAATTGTAAAAGTTATCAAAATTTGGATAATGTAAATCAAGAAAAAAACTACGATTAATTTCAAGCTACATTTCCATACTGTCGGTATCATTTCGTGATCCCAACCAACGATTCCATAAATCTTTTCGTCGAAGTGAATCTTGTCGTAATTTTGTGGATGGTACCGAAGTACGTAAACGTCTGAAACTGTCTTCTGTATTATTAACGAAGAATACATGATATGAATTAATGCATATCTTAATTTCCAAGCCATTTCGCGTTAAAACGTTTGGCAATATCCGCTCAGACCCTTCAACCGATGGCAAATTTCTATAAATTATAATTATTTAAATATTAATACCGAATAAATGAATCGAATTGTTTTCCAAAATTATTACCAACATACCTCTTTAAAAATGGGCGGTCTGTTTTAGCCGAAACGCCTTCAGTAGGATTTAAAGACATGTAACTATACATATAGTAGGCCCACTTTTCCTCCGACGATACAGCGCTGCCCAACGTATAGTCACGACCAGATAACAATATGGTCAAAAAATTTTCTTCTTTGTCCTGTATTATTTATTATACATTTAAGAATATACAACTTTCCCTTTTAAAATGAAAAAAATTTAAAATATCATACGTAATCGATTCGATATGTATGTTCATCATATCCAATTGTGTTATTAGCGTGTAACTGGTACATAATATGTGATCTGACACTCGATTGTTCTTGTTGTTGCTTATTATTCTCAAATAAATGAATTAGAGCATTTGATTTCGCATCAGATACCAACAATTGCATCTAAGTGTTATAAACAAAAATGTTATTAATAGAATATCAAATAGATTATCAAATATATTTACGAATATAATAAACATACTTGTTTAGTCATGTTTTGAACAAGCTTATCTACGGTGAACATTATGTAGGCTTTTGTGCCGTAAATATAACGGAGACTTTCCTCAAATGTTGGTAATTCCATCTCACCATCAAATTGTTTTTCAATAAGCTCAATCATCACAGTATAAGGATCGCCATGATTCAAATCCATATCAATTTCGGCTAAATAACAAAATATCAGAATTTATTTACATAGTTTAATGATGAATAATTGAAACTTACGATCAAGTCGATTGTTTTGAATACCCAAATCAGTCGCAGCATCATTCAGTGATTTATTCATTGAATTTGATGCTTTCTCTTGAGCTCCTTCCTTCATCTGCTCAAGGCGACTAAATAACATCTGTTTATGAAAATTGATTTATTAAATCGATGTATTAATAATAACAATTTCAATTGTCCAATTAATTATTATCTAACCTGCAAGAACCTGAAGAAACAATAAAATGCGTTATTTCCAAAAAAATAACTCGTAGACTTTTTTTTTAGTCTACCATTGCCAGCATTAGCTACTACAGCCCTAATGTTTTCACGCGATTCTTTAGAGACCTGAATCCACATACCGCTTATTGGTTCTGAAGATAATGGACCATTATCAATATCAGCATCAGCATTATCTATTGACATAGGCACGTTCACAACAGGTTCTTCATGATCAACAAGCATAGCAGAATCTTCATGATTCATCCCATCAAAAAAAGATGCCGGAACATCAAAGAAACTGGGAATAAACGTTTTAAAGAATTTTTCAATTTTATCCCTATCACTCGGTGCCACAGTTCCGGAACGATCCATATATCCAAATAAAATCCGAGCTACATCCTTGAATACTTCAAGATCTTTAAAGGCGAATTTAAACTGATATTCTGGCATTTCTCCTTCGTCATTAGGTTCACGACGAAGATTTTCTATCTCAGCTATCAAATATTTAGGAGTGAGTGCCTTCTTATCATCATTCTTAAATGTGATACCTTGATGGTCAAGGGACTTATAATAATTTTTTGCATCAATTTCACGCCATATTTTATTCCATTCTCTCTGTTAGAATAATACAGAATGTATTAATAAGAAACCATAAGATAAAATATGAATATATAAACCCAAACATTATCTAATCGGTAAATACCCTAGCGCGTTTCCATTCCTCATCTTTCTGCTTCAATCGCTTTAAGACTACAGGTACTACCGTAGCTGGATTATTGTGTAATGCATCGATTACATCCGCACCCTTATCAAAATCATAAACTCTCTTAATCACTCTCTGATAAATCATTGACTTTCCGCCCAAGCCAGATTCCAATTTGAACTTGGATTTTTCCTCGGATGACATTTTGTATAGTATTTTTCTCTCGATGGGTTCCAATAAAGCAATGGTGTGTTGATTTGCTTCAATGAACATATCATATTCATACCTAAATGATTAAAAATTTTATAAATTTAGCAACGGACTTCTAAATATAAATATAAATTATTTTTTACTAACCTCTCCTCTTCACATTTATGAAGTGCTTCTTCAAATTGATTTTTCTTATGTGATACGAATCCGGCCTCTTCACTAGCCCATGTAGGATGTGATACCCATTTATCATTTAAAACTTCCCAACATAATTCGTCACGACCAGAACAAGGCAAAGAAGCCTCCTGACAATATGCAATGATCATAAATAAAAATTAAATAAAAGATAATAACCTCTAGAAGTTCACTTACTGAAAGCGGTAATTGACGATAACTAGGACCATATGAAATACATCCTTCTAGATCCACACGTGGCCTAGAATTTGCAGTGTTTTGTACGATATCATCTTTCTCATCATATTTGACAAATTGCTTGAACCATTCAAATAGTTCAACGCTTTGCCCTATGAAGTTCTGCACTTTTTTTACTAGTGAATATGTGTCTAATATTTGCTGACTATAAAGATTGATTAGTTTGAGAAATTCATTGTAACTATGCTTATTTTGGATATGTTTTTTGACTTTTTCAAAGAACATCAACTCCTCAGATGACGCAGCCGGTTGTTTATCCGAGACCTTTGAAGGTTCGGTTTTAATCGGTACTAACGATGAGCCAGCCTGAACATGATCATTAGACGGTTTATGCAGTAATTTTGACTTTTTTGACTATAAGGAAATCCAAATTAGTTTATATAAATTATCTATACATAAATAGATAGCACCTTGTTAAAATACCTTGCTTGATAATAGACTATTAGGGCTTCTATCAGAACCAGGAAGAACCGATCGTTTCTTTTTGGATATACTTGAAGACCCTGCGGAACCAGATCCGACAGTTTGCCCTGAAGAATTATTAACTGTTGAATTTGATACTCCTGTTGAAGACTTTTTGTATGTATCATTGGACATCGAAGCAACTGATTGCGAGGGGGGAAAATTTCCTACTGGTGGTAATCTGCCAGTCCCCAAACCTAAACGATAATGACAAAATAATTAATGATGTTATAATGCTGAATTATACTTCAATATTTACTCACCAGATACACCATTCGCCAAGGCATTTATAGCAGGTATTAGATGTGATGACTTGTGTGTGCCATGAGATAAGGCGCCGAATAAACCACCTGACGGAAAATTACCGGAATTATCCGGAAGGAATTGCTTAAATTCGTCCAGAAGATCAGGTGCATTCTTGAAAAGAACTTGAACTTGTGCATATACCTGTAACATTATAAATTTCATAAGTTAAACCAAAAATAAAATAAACTAAAACAAAGACCAACGAATCATAATACCTCTTGGATTGGTTTTTGCTCTTTTTGATAAGTTTGTAAAATTTCTAAGAATTGCTTGTATGTATCCGGATCCGTCGAGAACCGATTCTGTATAAATATAGAATTAATGAGGTGAATTAGATGAGATCAAGTCATTCATATAGCAAAATTCGAAACGACTAAGAGACTATATTGACCAGATTTGCCTTTATTTTAGAAAATTTAGAAAATGTCCGGTCATTAAATTTCAAAGAGAATGATATAGAGACTATTTACCTTTATCTTATTAACATAATTTATCGCATGATTGAATTCGACAGGACCTTTTCTACCATTACCTTGTTGAGCATTTGGAGAAGAACCTCCCGCAGCACTAATGCCAACTGATTGTCCAACTGCTTGTGAAGTTGATTGACCAGATGGTTGTCCTACTGACTGCTGTGGTGAACCAATATGATAAACCGGTTGTGGTTGCAAAGAAGGTCCTTGTTGATGCGGCGGTAACGATGACATCAACGAAGCAGGTGGCTGGTGAGGGTATAAATGATAACTTGCTCCGCTCAAATTAGTTACTCCTGTTTGTAAATGATGAGAATCTAAAGGTCCTATAGTAGATGTAGTTGTTCCATTAGGTGTTGTGACTTTTATGGAGTCGGGGTCGTGAGGGTTCGTTGAACACTCAATGTGATATCCAGGAGGTAAAAATGTATTGAACCCTTGAATCAAAGCCGGATGACCTTTAAACAAAGTTGAAACCCGCTCAATAACACCAGGAGTATCGATCGCTTGACTTTTGAAATCTTTCATAATGTCAAGAAATCTGTTGTAAACATCTGGGTTGTCAGAGAACTGAATTTTGACTTGATCCAGATATGACAGGGCATCTTTTACGTTAAGTGCTTGTTTATTAGACATAAGGGAGGAAGAACGCTACGATAAAGTTCTAGAAGGAAAGTTCAACCTTTTAAAAATAATGTTTCAAAGAATAACAAAGTCCAAAAATAATTGTCAAAAAACCAAAAGCCTTGGTATTTATACAAATCTCAAAAATATGGGTGGCTTAGCGGTGGCTTAGATTCATTAACGCGCGAATTTTTTTAAATTAATAATATCATTTTAACAGTCTCTTTCCTTTTCTACTACAAAGTATTCAATAAAATTATTTATTATTATTATTTAAGAAAAATAAATAAATATGTATTTTTTTTTTAATATAATAATAATATTTATTTAATAAGATTTTAATATTTTATATAAATTTTTTAATAGATATAATATATTAGTAATTTATTAGAATTTATTTAACTATTATATATTAAATTAAGCTTTATTTTAATATTTTAAATAATATTATTATAAAATTAATGTCTCTGTAATAAATTAAAAATCATAAAAATCATAAAAATAAAAAATATATATATTAAAAAAAGAAAATTACTAAAATAAATCAATTTTACTTTTGATATATCAAATATGATTTTTAGATTAAAATATATTTAAATTTAGTATAATTTTATTTCTTTTAACAGTATTCTTTTTTTCTATTATAACATTCTATATTATAAAATAATAATTAATTTAATTAATCATATACATAATTTAAAATATTTTTTAAATATTAAAAATTAAAAATACAGTTTTTTCAAAAGTATTTGATTCGGATTTTTATAATTTTTTAAAATTATACATAATAAATTTATCTGAATTTTTTTAAAATGAGTTAATTGCTAGAAAAATTAAATTCTAGGATTTTTTTTTTTAACAAAATTGAGATTTTTATTACATTTTAGTTTTTTTGATGTTATTATATTAAAATGCATTAAGCTCTTAATTTTAATCAAAATTTTTTAGGATCTGATTTTTCTAGATATTCTTTCAAATGATTAAGTCATTTGAATATATATAGTATGTGATGAAATTTTTTTCAGGTTGCCGATCGTGTTGCACACAAACTTAACTGCGGTTTATTTACTGCGTGATGTTCAGTCGCGCCAGAAAGTCCAAATTTTATAATAAAACATATAAAGAATAGATAAATTTCAAGCTATATACATATTAGTATTTACCTTAATAATTATTTCTAAATTTTATATAATTTAAAGCCAGCTAGTTGTATTTTTTAATTTTGGGGAGCTTAAAATGCAAGAGCCATTTTAATTGTAAGATCCCAGAAAAGAATAAGAAAAAAAAATATATGTTCGAGGATCTCTTCTTTTTAGGAATGGCTAGTGTTTTGTTTTCTTCGATAATAAGGAATCTTGGGTAACAGCATGGATCAGCAAAACTTTTACTGCGGGAATGAATCGATCAACGATCTGCAACATCATTAATTGATTTATTGAATGTAATTAACAATCAGAATAATAATGAAGAAATATTTGAAAAAGTTTGATATTCAAAGAAATGCTATTCCTAGAGTTGGTTTACCTATGGTTTCTACACAATTTTTTAATCAAGTGGACAAAATGATAAAAATTTATCTTCATCCAATTATCCTTGGAAAACACAATGGCAGAATATTATATTAGAACAAGAGTATGATGATTCTAATAAGGAGTTAGATATAGGATATAGAGAAACAGAATATGATGTTTCTCAGATACTTTTTTAGCTCTTTAATCGAAAATATTTCTAATGAAGATATAATTCAAGTTTGGCATGTTAAAAGAACTGGTAGTTCAGAAGTTGGCAATTATATTGTATTACTTGATGATGGTTCACACCTTTGTACATGTATGATGTTAATTAACAAAGGGTATCGTTTGCCGTCATTTTTTTCGTGTTGGAACTTATTCGAATTTAGCAATATTTCATGTCAATCTTATTTCTTCATGGTATCCTCCGTCAAATTGAACCTATTCAAATATCAAATACTACTGATAATGCAACTATTTTATCAATGCAACGAGTTATCCGGACTTTCTAAAAAGGTTATTGATTTAGCAATTAAAGGTGATATGTGTGGAGAACTTGATGAGCTTTTGAAGGGGGTTTATTACAAATGTTAAATCAAAAATAGAATCATTTGAACATAGAATTCTACAGATATAGAAATTAATAATCCTACAGTTATAAGACATAAAGGAAGGCCTCCGAAAAGATATAAATCTAGTGTTGAAATAGTTCAATCCAAAGTGCAAGTAATCATAAATACACATAACCGAAAATGTAGTAAATGCAAACAAATAGGTATTATGCTAAAAGATGTCCAAATTAATTTAGATTCAAATACAATGGCTATTATAATAAATAAATAATAAAGTTTTAAATTCTTTTACAATATTATCATGTGATCATGGATAGGGTATATACCCATCGGGTACGAATAGAAATTCTCTAAAAAATACCCTTTTTGAATTGATTTATTTTTAATAAAAATTTTTTTTTTTTTTTTTGTCCTTTATTAAATTCAGTTAATTTTTTTGCATGACAAAATTATAATAAATTTTTTACACATTTAATCATTATTATAAGGTGAAAATTATTTAGCTTTTTATCAACATTTTTATATAATGTGTTAATATAGTGAAAATCTCTTCCAATAATATATCATCCATTAATATTATTAACCATTAATTTTACCTCTAACGACAAAGTGTACGTACTAATAACGTACATTCGTAATCTTTCTTCCAAACATCTAAATTACCATGCAAAAAAAAAATATATATATATTTTCTATACAGTACAAATGAATAATAATAATAAAAAAGACATTGCACGACTTTACTACATAACAATTGAATCGAAAAGAAAAAAAAATCCTTTGATTCTTTTAAATAAAAATAGAATCACCTTGTCGCAGCTGCTCATTGGTAACCTACAAGGATAAAAGAATATATAATATATATTTTTGAATAACTTATAAATATGTATAACCAATTTTACATACCCGCAAGTAATGCCTTTTCGGCAAAATATTTGACATCTGCATCCGAATCTTCTCGTAATTTATCCAATGCAGGCTTTACTTGTGAATCCAAAAGTATAACGGTTTCCGGACTTTGTTTAAGTACAGGTATTAAAACTTCATACGATTTAGCGACATTAAATCGGATATTAGGAATAGGATCGGAAACTAAATTATTCACTGTAGGAAGAATATAATCTCTAATCACTTCCGGAGTAACAGCAGGAGCCATTGTCTAATTATTTTATGAACATGTTGATCAGATCTATTTAATTATTAAAAAAAAATAAAATAGACATTTTTTAAATATAAATCACCAACCGTGATAGCAAAAATGGTTGTCATTCTGTATAAATAATTTTGATGGGTTCCCATCACGAGCACTTTTGGTATAATTGTAGTCTTTGCCCATTCAACTCCAAATACTTCAGTCAATTTTTTCAAGTTAACTGTAGCAGCTTCACGAATGGAATAAACGTTATCTCCTAACCAAGACATGCACAGATTTCCTAACTTTTCGTCAAAAAATTCAACTCCTAATTGACTAGCAAGTAAAGGAATATAATCAATAATTGCAAGGCGAACACGCCATTGCTTATCCTCAGCCAATTCAACTATGGCTGGGAGGAGATTCTGTGATAAAAGTTCAATCCCGATAACTGAATTACAAAAGGATGAGATACGGTAAATATTAGAAACTATATTATAATTATTAATAACATCTTACCTTCATTTACTTGTTCTAATTTTGATATAATATTTAATCTGACATCCGGGAATTCATCTTTCAAAAGTTGCAAAAATAATGGTAGCAAGTGTTCGGTTGTACTATGGAAGAATAAAGATACAAAAAAAAAAAAGTGGTTATTTAAAAAGGAAACAAAAGAACAAGAAGATCGTTTAATAATTAGTTACATACGCTTCTTTGCCCAAAATAGGAGCTAGCCCACTAATCTGAGTAGCTAAACTAGCTCGAACGTGCTGTGATGTGTCTGTAACCAAATCCTTAACACATGGTAAAATATGCGATAAAATCGTTTGTTTATCGATATTTTGGGCAAACCCTAAAAATGTATAATTTTATATATATATTAAGACCACTATTTGTAAATATAAATTAATAATAATATAACATACCTGGAACTTGACCGGAAGCAGCAGTTCTTACTTCTGCTTCATTATCTTTAAGTAAATGAACGAATGCTAATACCAAATCATCACGCGTTACTTCTTCACCAACAGCTTTTGCTATCTATTTCAACATACAAGGTGAATATCGGTAATGGTTAACAAAATTAACCAGTCATCTAATATATAATTATACAAAAATTTACCTTGACGAAATTTTCGGCTATCATGTATCTAACTCTCCAGCTTTTATCTGAAACCATACTCCTTAGAGTTTGCAAAAGATAAGTTTTGCTTTCTTCTTTAGAAAGTACTTCAGCGATCGCAACCAAATCTTCAACGGTCAGTAAACGCACCGAATCTTGTTCATCTTGTGCGAGCTTACTAAACAATGGAATAATGTCCAAAACAACCTGCTCTTTCGGAATCTTTTTCGCAAATTTCTGTATCAATTCGAAATGAGTAATCGATTTATTTAATTAACCTACACCATTCTCATTGGAAAAAAAGAAAATTTGCGTCAAATCTAAGTCAGTCAAAACTTACGCCCAAATTACCAGCAGCAGCCCTTCTAACCATTGGCGTTTCATCTTGACATAATTGTTTGAACATTGCTCGTAATTCATCTTGTGATGATGGTGTTGCAGCCTGGTAACCTGCTGCATACAAACCGCAAGCACTAGTACGACTGGTAAACCAATCACCACTACCTAAGCGTTTAATTAGTGGTATATAAAATTCTTCAATCTGTTGTTGAGAGAGAACTACAGCAACTTTAGTCAAAGACTCGACAGCCTATTGAATATAATATTAAAATATCGTTATTGAGTTAATATTTATAATTATTTAATGAAATCGATGATAAAATAATACCTTTTCCCTAACAAGAGTTTCCTCAACGGCCGCAAGATTTTCCAAAGGTCCAAGTATTTTATGCGCGTAATCTTTACCACCAACATATTCTACAAAATTACCAAGTTCCTCCGCTAATGCTAGAAGTACCTCGTCTTCATCATCGATAGATTCTAAGAGAATGCATGATTAATCGGTCGATATAGTTAATTATCAGTTTAATAAATTTGGACATTCTTTGGGAAGTTTATATTAATTCAATCCAATCAAAACTGCGCGAATGGTTTATTAAAACAACTTTATAGTTTTTAAATAAACGAACACTTTGTCTCTTAAAATGCAGAAGGTAGAATTAGCAAATTGCGCTCACTCACCATCAAGGAACGGTATAAGCTCATCCCGAGTTCTTTGAACACCTAGTGCTAAAGCAATGGTTGAAAGCCGTCTGATGGCGTTTAAACGAAAATTAACATCGTCAGCCCTTAACTCGTCCAGTAAGACGGCAATAGGATACAAGCTATCTTCGTTTTCGACATCGGGATTCATAGTTAGATTAGTTCAAGGAAATAAATAAATACTTTAATAATTTATTAGATTAGCTGGGAACCTTAATTAAAAAAATTTTAAAGGTTCCAAAAAGGAAAGGTTAAAATTAACTGTGGATGAAATTAATGGCCTAAATTATCAGAATAACATACATAGATCATCTGTAATCTTGTTCAATTAGAATCAAATATAATTTTAAAGATTTATATATATATATTATTATTTTAAGTATAATTTTACAAAGTCCATTCTGTTGCTATCTAATTCAGAAATTTTATTATCAGTAAAAATTTTTTTTTTTTTTTTTTTTTTTTTTTTTTTTTATTCCCCACCCAGTCCATATTTACAAATCTATTCTATCCTTATAATCGATGTCCGGGAACAGCTGCAAAAATTATCATTACAATTATAGAAACTAGTGTACTTAGTAAAAATACTCTTAAACCTTTTTTTTTATGTAACGTATATATGTATGGCTCCATTACACGTTGGAAGTGAAAAAATTTTGATTCACTTTATAATAATAAAAATAAAAAGTTATGAGTATCTTGTATTAATTAACGCTAGAAAATATAAATACCAAATTTTTACCTTATTTTCAATAAGGCGAAAAGGGAACTAAACTTCGATACAAAAGCAAATAAATTACTAACACCAAAAAATATTGGAATAAAGCTCTAAAGGTTAAGAAAAGATAAGTAAACCGAGGTTAGTGAACGAAATCATTATTGAAATGTTAAAAATGCATACCCATAATCGTAAAGTCCACGGCTTGTTATCCAAAAAAATTAAACATAATGCAACGGTAAATCCAATAAACAAAAACAATAAACCTATTCCTAATCTAATCATAATGTGTCGGTCATGCATATTTCCGAAAGCCCTAGCTTTTAAAAATCCGGGGAAATACTCTTGCTCCATTAAACTATAAATTTCTTTTTTCGCTTCATGATATATCCAAGGGTCATCCCTTTTATGTTGAGTATCGCTCTCGTCTTCGATAGCATGAGCAATCTTCTCACGAACATGACTCGTTAGTATGATTTTTTTTTCCGAGTCTCCAAAAATATATCTAAAATAAATACGTTCCGCCGATACACGAAGATCATTTCTCTCAAATGGTCTCTCACGATTATACAATGAGAAATTTCCCGTTGTATTTGTTCTGGTGGAGCGAACAGAATCTCGATGCGCTAAATTTCTCTGTCTATAATCATTCCTTTCATTTGAAATCTCAATTATATGTGAACTTGAAGGTGAATCTGGGCGAGAAGGAGGATCAACATTAAAAGTATTAACCGAACCACGAGATGAAGAGCTCAAATTTCTATGAATCCCATCTCCACTAGCAGTCGTACTAAACTTTAAATTATCCTTTTCAGATTTATTATTTCCCGGTCTAAATCTTTCATATTCA